CCGCTCGTTCCGAATCGTGCTCCCGCTGCAGTGTTGGCCTCATTTCCGCGCGCCCGCTCGTTCCGACTCGTGCTCCGGCTGCAGCGCTGGCGTCATTTTCCCGTGCCATGCCACGGCATGCAATGCAATGCTAGGTTGATACTACGCTTTGCGGTGCTCTTCTACGCCATGCCACGCCGCGCTCTACAATGCATCGCGTACCCTTTCGGGATCACTGCCCTGCTCGACATCCGACTGTGCGAGTAGAGAAGGGATCTTCGCCATAGTACGGGATGGGAGGCAGGGGTAGGATGTCAGATATGACGCGAGCGCACCTAGCTTGACCCCCCCCCCTTCCCCCCTGCCCCTGGGTCTGGAGGGGGAGGGGGTCGCGACCAAGCGGAGCGTCCAAGACGGCCTAGGCGAAGGCAAATCATTAATTTGACTACGTTTGGGGCAAATTTTGGCTTGGGGGGGGAATAGGATGGACTACCCCTCTTTCATTGATCGATCTCCTCCAGGATGGCCCCAAGATGGCCCCCAAGGCTCCCAAGAGTGCCTCAAGAGGGCCACAAGAAGCGCCCAGGAGGCCGCAAGAGGCCCCCATGAGGTTTCCAAGAGACCCCCGAAAGTCCCCAACAGGCTCCCCCGATGCACCCAACACGCTTCAAGATGCCCCCGGGGCCGCCACGAGGCCCCCAATACACCCCTAGAGGACTCTTAGAAGCTTTCAACTGACATCCGAACAGACTCCGAAATGCATCCGAATCCTCCGGCCATTCTGCTCGACTTTTCCTCCTCCGCCTGTTCCTCCTCCTCCCTCCAACTTTCTCCCCCTCGCCCTCCCCCTCCTCCTCCTCCTCTTCCTCCTCCTCCTCCTCCTCCTCCTCCTCCTCCTCCTCCTCCTCTTCACGACGATTCCTCAATTCTCCCATTCTTGGGGTACGACGGCTTCCCCAGCCCGTTTGTCCACTGCATGCGCCTACAAATCCCTGATCAAGGCAACTTGTCTGTGAATCATTTCTGGATGGGCTGGTGGGGTTCCTGTTTGTTCGCGAGCGCAAACGGAAGGGCCGCCCGCCGTTCAAAGCTACAGCTAAAAAGCAGGAGCCTGAATTGCACACGAGGAGACGAGAAGAGAGGCAACAAGAGAACAGCGCGAGGTGAGACAAGCCGGGGCGGGCCGCGCGGCGCTCACGGAGGGGTGCCATCGGCAACTAGTAACCGCCGGAGGTGCATGCCAAAATGGCGGGCAATCAGCTGGCAGTGGGGTGTCCCGTGACTGCGGCGTGGGGCAAACCCGCGGGGGATGGCGGAAGCCGAAAGCGCCTGCGTCTGTACGAGGGGCAGCACGCGGGGGGCCGAGCGCGGCAAGGGCTACGCATCCCTGCAAGGGGGGAGCAGGCCTGCAGGTGCTTGGAACCAGTGTGGGTGGCGGCGGAACGAGAGAGTGGCGACGACCGAACAGAGCAGTTCGCACCGTGGGGCAGGCACATCGTAAACAGACTGAATGAAGGGGCCCACGAACACACAAATAAATACACACAAATAAAACTATTCCCTATATTTTCCTATATTTTCTGGGTTTTCTGTCTTCCCCCCCACTTCCCATATTTTCCCATATTTTCTGGGGGGGTCGACGATTAATTGTGTCTGTGTGTTTTTTCCCCTCCTGACTGAAAGCAGTCAGCCGCGCGTAGACACCCGTGAGGAAGCCGGCTGGTGGGGTTACGCGAAAACGTCTAGAATAAGTTCTCCTCGTCGCGGACCACACGTGCCGTTTCGGGCGGGACGGGCGTTTCGCCCGAGACACCCTCACCGTTATGATCCTGAATCTTGAAATTTGTAGAACTTTCACGGGTGGGGGGCGGGCAGTGTTCAAAATGTGTGTCTCGCCTTAGCGCCGCTCACATTCGTTTCCGAAGTTTGCAACTGTCTCGCAGATGGTTGGCGGGTCGGTTTCAAAATGGAGCTCTCGCCTTATCGCAGCACACATTCGTCTTAAAAGTTCGGAGCAATTTCAATATTGGAGGGCGTGTTATTTCCAAAATGTGTCTCTCGCCTGAGCGCCGTGCGCAGTCGTCTTACAAGCTTGAGACAGATGCAAGGATGCAGGGGGAGTCCTTCTCAAAATGCAACTTTCGCCTTATCGCCGCGCACATTCGTCTTAAAAGTTGGCAACGGTTTCACAGATCCCAGGAAAGGTGCCCTGGCACCATTTGGGATTGTCTGGACGCGATTGGGGCTTCCCAGATGGCTGTCTTCCAGTGAGGCACTTCCCACAATGAAAATAAATGAATAAATTGTTGTGGGGACTTATAAAGAGGGACTTTGGAGAGCCGGTTTATTGAACCATCGTTGATGCGTCTTGGAATTACTCTGGTCCTCCTCCTCCTCCTCCTCATCATCATCACCCGTCCACTGCAGAATGCAGGTGATCAGAGAAAACATTCATCCAATTACATGGCATTTCTTTGTCTGTTATTTCCCTGCGTGCCCCTCGCCTTTGGTCCCGGCCCTGGCTCTGCGGGTGCATTCAAGCCTGTCTTGGGATCCGTCGGGACCCTGGAATAAGAATTCCCATTTCCGTAATTTCGCCATTGTTCCACAGCAGGGGAACCTGAACTGTACTATAGCGGCTTGTTTCACGATCCTGCCAATGCACACCAGACGTGCATGGCGTCTTCTTCTTCTTGGAGGTCTGGTCAGGCTTGGCCATCCGACGGGCAGGCCAGCAGATCGAGCGGCCCTCCTCCTCCTCCGCCTTCTACCCCTTCTCAAACCATCCAACCCCGTGCCATCCAACCCCACCGCATTCCATCCTCCTCCTCATCCTCCTAACCAGCATTCTACCTGATGCCTGTTCCACGTTAATCCCTCCCTGTCGCACTTTGGGAGAAGATTGAAAACCCAACCATCCTGCTGTATCGGGTCCTCGTTCTGAAGAGACAGCGCCCCGCGTCACTCATTCCTCCTCTTCCTCCTCCTCCCTCCTTCCTCCTCCTCCTTCTCCTCCTCCTCCGCCTCCTCCGCCTCCTCCTCCTCCAGGCTCGCGCCTGAGACATCCTCACCATATGCTACCACGTGAGTCAAACTGTGCCACACCCACAGTGTGCCTGTTCTGTACCATTCGCGACAGCGGGCGTGATCGGGGGAGGGGGGGAAGGGAAGTTCGTTCACATCACGGAGGGGGGGGGTCGCCAGAAATCTTACAAGGAAGCTGGAAAAAGTGGAAGTTGGAAAGTCACTGAAAGTGAAAACAGCCAGGACTGGAAAAACTGGAAGTGGGCGAAACGAGCCTGGGTGGGGATGCGGTCGCCAGGGCTGGAAAACCGAAAGGAAACCGACCAGGGCTGGAAAGAGTAGAAGGGCTGGCCCTGGCCACTTTCTCCAGCTTCCCTGTAGGAGATCGCCGAAGAATCCGTGGGACGTCTCTGCAGATGTGGGCAGACGAACGTGACGTGATCCGGGGGTGGGGGCCGGGGGGGAGGGCGAGGGCCGATCACGGCTGTCCTCGCCAAGACCTCACACGAGACAGGCTCCAGTGGATGGAGGGCGGCCCCTTCGCTCACGGCGGGCGCCCCTCCTTTCGGCGGCGAGCGAGAGGGCGGGGAAGTTAGAAGGCGCGGGCCCTCTCAGAAGGCTCGAAGGCCCCTGGCCTTCTGAGAATAGGGGGCCACATGCGAACCCTACCCCTACCCCCCACGATTTCTGAGGGGGAGAGTGGGGTTCACTTCGTCTGGGAGCTCCCGAGTGAAGTGAACCCCACACTCCCCCTCAGAAATCGTGGGGGGTAGGGGTAGGAGTTGCATGTGGCCCCCTAGAGAAGTTTCCCGAGCCTTCCCCGGAGACGCAGAAAACCCCTCAGAAGGCGCGGCGCGGGGGCCTCTGAGGAGCCCCGCCGCCTTCCGGGGAGGCCTCCACCTTCTCCGTTCCCCCCCTCGCTCGCCGCCGACTGAGCTTTCTGACCCCGCTCTGTCGCACCTTACTTCTCACAGCTCGAAGGGCGGAGGAGAACGAGGAGGAGGAGGAGGAGCAGGAGGCGGAGGAGGAGAAGGACTATGGTAAACCCAAGATGCATCGACAATCCTACGTTTCTTCTGGGACGGAGCTTCCGCTTGGTGCGGCATGCCCATGGGGCATACTCGTCTTGCTAGGGGGGGGGCTTCGCGCAGTGAGGACATGATGCTTGCACAGTCGGACCTCAGAAGAGCATCCCCTCCAAGAACACGAGGCCCTCCTTGGCGGCGCGCACAAGGGGGTAGGGGGATGGGGGAAAGCTTCTTAGAAGGAAGCTGCTTCTTAGAAGGCGCCGGCCTTACGTCTGCAGACACGGCCCGCGACTTTCTGAGCAGGGTGCTTCTGAGAAGCCTTCCCCCATTCCCCCACACCCCTCTGCGCGTGGCCGACCTCCGACCTCCGTCGGCCAATTTTAATCAGAACATCGCAGGGTACCCTCGCCAGGATGCACAAGAACGCCCAACAAGCAGGAAGAATACCAGGGTACCCTCCCCAAACCGACCGCGATCTCATACCTCGGTCCGACTGTACATGCTAACGAGGGGACTTGGGAATCAAGGTGGATTGCAGCATCGCCAATGCATCTTGGGTTTGCTCTGGTGCCTCTCCTCATCCTCCTGCTTCCTCTGGTCCCTCTCGTCCTCCTTGGGAAAGGGAGGGTGTATTGCAGCATTGATGGTACATCTTGGGTCTACTCTCCTACTTCCCCTCACCCTCCTACTTCCTCTTGTCCTTCTCGTCCTCTGCATCCTCCTCGCCCTCCCTCCCATTCCTCGTCTCCTACTTCCCCCGCCATCCTGTTCCTCTCCTTCCCCCATATCCATCTCATCCTGTGGGTTAGACCATAACCATTGCGATATGTGTTTGTTCGTGGACATGGTGTGAATGGCAGCGTCACGTCTCGGAGAACCGGCACATATTCTTGCCTGGAGCCAGGCTGCTATTGAATGTGCCCTGGTGCAATCGATTCCAATCGCATCAGGGTGCATGCAAAACAAAACTCAGGCAGCATGGCTGATCTCCTTGTTGATATCCTCGAAAATACTGTCCTGGCAGGCGCATCGATGACATACCACTACCTCAAGCATGAGCGGTTGCGCGTCACAAGCGTTGTTCAGAAACATCGTGCGGGGAGCTCGTAAAGCATACGCATGAAGCCTACGATTGCCTGCACGACGCACTCGGCTCGACTCGCGAGTCATGTCCTCGATGCGGTGACTGAGCGGAATCAAACCTGCCTGCCAGACGCTACACCTCTTGCAAAGAACACACCTGCTGGAGCTGAGCGGAATTGGCATCATCCCCACATTTGGTGATGCTGTCTGATTCCGATAAACCTCTGTACCACATTGGCTAGCGTACCCTCGGTCGCTTGACACAAGAGCCGTCCCATGTTCAAGATGTCTGCCAACTGAGTTGCCGTGGCTCTTCCTTCGGGTAGCACAATCGTGGAGGATCGACCATGAATCTCTGAACACTCGTGGTTGTCAACACGTTAGAAAAAGAAAGCAGCATACACATACACTTGTGGCGCTCCGCGCGGATTTCTTGGATCTACGCTGGACCCCTTGGCGCGCGGAGCGCGCTAGTGGCGGCGCCGCAGGCGCCGACGGGGGGTGCCAGCGCGGAGCCGAGAAATCCACGCGGAGCGCCAACAAGTTATGTTTACGCAATTGTTCTTCTTCGACAGGTGGAATTCCGGATTTCCAAAAACAGCATGTGGCATGTGTCTCGCGCCGTGGACGTTTCTCGTGGCCCCGGCCCTCAGGAGGACCTTGACGGCCATGCTCACACGGAAAACTTGAGGTGTGGGAGCGCCGCTGCTCGCAGGAAAGGGCCCTTCCGCATCGAGCTGTGCGCCCTGCGTTACTATCCGATCGGGTCGGACGGCGCACATCGGTGGTTCTCCCGGCGCGCCAGAGGCGCCAATGCGGAGCGTCCGCACAAACCTTCGCAAGAAACTCAACCCTGAAAACCCACGCGCGAGGTGCAACATGGAGGGACACCCGAAAAGCAGCCTGAACACGCAGCAGCCTCTCATTGCCCCGTGGGAAGCCCCCGCGCAGCGCGCGCGGCGAAGAGACACAAGGCATCCTGACGCAAGGCAACTGGTTTCTTGATGTGTGTCCCCACCGCAACCTCCCCTTTCTCGGCGGCGCGCCTGGAGGGAAGGCAGAGGGGACCAGCCTTCTGAGACGGCGGCGGGGCTTCTCAGAGGCCCTCGTGCCTTCTGAGGAAGCGTCTGCGGCTTCGGGTGAGGCTCAAACGGCTCCTCGTGGAGGCCTCCTCCCTCCGGCAGCACCCGTGCGGCACGGGGGGCGTGCTGGCGTCCGCACCCTGACATCTTCCGATGATGCGATGTCTTCGATCCGCGGCCCCAGGAGGTCCCGACCCCCTCCCCGGGAGTGTCGTGTCTTCTCGGGAGCGGCCAAGAAGGGGGGGCGTCCAAGAGCGAGGTGTGCAAATCATGGCCGGCGGCATGTGCGCGGCCCAGGGGGGAGGGGGCCAGGGACGTGATGGAATAAGAGGAGGTGCCATGAAATCTGCGGAAATATCATGGCCCACGCCACGATATCCACCCCCCCCCTACCCTGACCTTCCAGAGTGCTTAAAAATAGCCCTCCAGACCCATGGACCTACCGGGGCTGCCTAAAACCTCGACTGGAATTAAGATATCGAGGTCCTGGTGCTATCTTTTAGCCCTCCTTCAAGGTCAGGGTAGTCATCACCCCCCTCTTTGCCGCCTCCGATCTTCGCCCCGGATCCGCTCTCGACCCCTGCCCTCCCCGGGAATGAGGTCGGGCCTGTCCTCCTAACCAGGCCGACTTCGGAAGAAACGTACAACACGCCCCAAAACTGCGCACACATATAGCCAAAAACATAGTCGAAGCATCGCGCCCCCCCTATTTTCTGGTTTGGCTTGCGGGTTCCTCCTCCTCTCGAGGGCCACGGCCTCCCCCCAGCCTGGGCACATCGGAGGAGGCCTGGCCGCCCACGCGCCGCAAGCCGGCGGAGGCGCCTCGCGCCGCGGCACCGCGTCCTCCGCGCGAGGCGCGGTGCTCCGCGCGCCCTCGCCGCGGGCAAACGGACGCCGGCGGCGCAGCCGCGACCGATCCTGGGGCAGGCCGAATCGGCAATCGGCGATGCATCGGCGATGCGGTGCTATCCTCCGAGCCCATCGAAGAGGAGGAGGAGGAGGAGGAGGAGGAGGAGGAGGAGGAGGATGAGGAGGAGGAGGAGGAGGAGGAGGAGGACCGACCCGCGAATCGGGGCGTATCTCGGCGGAGGACAAACCTCCCTTCACCAAACCTCCCTCTCAGTGAAAACGACCTAGGGCCGAAATCGAGGGACCTGGACCCGCAAAAAGGACGGCCGCGACGCCCTCCCGCGAGCCGGGAGCGGCCGATTCCTGAACTGACGTGTCAGGGTAGGAGGTCTGGCCACCCGCGAGGGCTCATCATTACTGCCCAGAGACCCGGCGCCCCGAAAAATACTTTGGAGCGGCGGGCCGCGGGGCCATTCTTAGGTCGGGCATGTTCTGCTACTGGCGGACTTTGAACGACAAAAGGAAGACAGCCACAAAATATTCGAAACATCGTCCCCAGGCTATTTTCTAACTATCTTTTGAACATTCCTCCTGTAGAGGGACAGGCCCGACTTGAGGCCATTCTCAGCCTCTGGGGGCCCTCGCCGGCCCTCGGCCTCGCGGGGGGCCCGCGCTGGGCCTCGGGGCCGTCAACAGGACGGCTCCGGGACGAAAAACTGGCCCTCCTGGGGGAAGGAAGGGTCCACGGCTCCGGGGCCCGCGCATCGAATAAAAAATTATAGCCGGAGTGCAGTATCCCCAAACAGGGTTTTTAAAACGCACTGCGGTTTCCAAGGTCGATTGCGTGCCCGTGCAGTGCGGGCTGGCATGGCATGTTAGACCATGATAACATGATGTTTGCACATGAGAGGGCGGAAGGCAGGGCGCGCATGACGGAAGCTGAGGCGGCAGAAACGACGACGGCGGGGACGGGGAGGCGGAGGCAGAGGCGCAGCAGCGGGAGGCGGGATGCGGGAGGAGGGAAGAGGAGCCAGGCGGGAAGCGGGAAGAGGGAGGCGGGATAAGGAATGAGAGAGGTTGTGATTGGAGCCCCTGTGCTACGAAAAGTCTCAGGCAGAACGGGCCAGACCATCTCGCGAGACCATCTCGCGCTTAACATCTTCGCACTTCGCATTGTGAGGATGGCTCAAGCGAAACGGGCCGGACCACCTCGCGAGCGACATCTTGGAGCTCAGTATTTGAAGGATGTCTCAAACAAAACGGGCTGGACAACCTCTTGCACACGTTCTGACAAGTCCACGTCACATTCGCTTCCCGTTGGGTCCTCTCCTGCAACTCCCTCCCTTCTCCCTCCTCCTCCTCCTCCTCCTCCTCCTCCTCCTCCTCCTCCTGCCTGCTCCCTCATCGACATCCTCCTCCTCCTCCTCCTCCTCCTCCTCCTTCTCACTTCCATCTCCTCCTCCTCCTCCTCCTCCTCCTCCTCCTCCACCTCCTCTTCATCCCGAACGGCATCTCGGAGCCCAGAGTTGCGAGGATGCCTCCAGCGTAACGGGCTGGACCACCTCGCGCGCAGCATCTCGGAGCCCAGAGTTGCGACGATGTCTCGGGCGGAACGTGCTGCGAAGAAGTCTCAGGCGAAACGGGCCGGACCACCTCGAGCGCGGCGTCTCAGAGCTCCGAGTTGCGGGGGCCTCCTGGGGCCTCCTGGGGCCTTCCAGGGACCTCCTGTGGCGTCCTCCTGGGCCTCCTGTGGCCTCCTGGACCCCACCTGGGGCTTACTGAAGCCTCTAGGGGCTCCCAGGGGGGGTTATCTAACATTTGGCCGTCTGGACCCCCCTAATGGGGGGGGGCACAAGAGCAGGAAAAATCAACGAATCGACACCGGATGTGTATTAACTTGACACGTTCTGATAGGGGGCCTCCTGGGGCCTCCTGGGAGCCTCCTGGGAATCTCCTGGGGACCGCTGGGGCCTGTCCTAGGCGTCCTGCCGCCTCCCCTGGGCGTCCTGTCCTGGGAGCCTCCTGGGAAGCTCTCTGGGGCCGCCTGGGGCTCCCAGGGTCCCAGGGGGGATACGTATGTAACATGTGGTCTTCTGGGCCCGCAGGCTGGACCTTCTCTTGCGCGGCATCTGGGAGCTCAGAGTTGCGAGAATGTCTTGTGCGTTACGGGCCGGACCACCTTGCGCGCAGCATCTCAGAGCTCACAGAGGCTCAGGGGAAACGGGCTGGACCACGTCGCGCGCGGCATCTGGGAGCTCAAAGTTGCGAGAATGTCTTGTGCGAAACGGGCCGGACCACCTTGCGCACGGCATCTCAGAGCTCACAGAGTTGCGAGGATGTCTCAGGCGAGACGGGCCAGACCACCTCGCGCAGGGCATCTCAGAGCTCAGAGTTGCGAGGACGTCTCAGACGAAACGGGCCAGACCACCTCTCGCGCGGCATCTCGGAAAGCAAAAATGCGAGGATGTCTCAAGTGTAACGGGCCGAACCACCTCTTGGGCGGCATCTCGGGGCTCAGAGTTTGGAGGATGTCTCAAGCGAAACGGGCCGGACCACCTCTCGCGCCGCATCAGAGAGCGCAGAATTGCGAGGATGTCTCAAGCAAAACGGGCAGGATCACCTCGCGCACGACATATCAGGGCTCAGAGTTTGGAGGATGTCTCAGGTGAAACGGGCTGGACCACGTCGCGCGCGGCATCTCCGAGGTCGGAGTTGCGAGGATGTCTCAAGCGAAATGGGCTGAACCACCTCTTGCGCGGCAGCTCAGAGCTCAGAGTTGCGAGGATGTCTCAGGCGAAACGGGCCGGACCACCTCGCAAGCGGCATCTCGGAGCCCAGAGTTGCGAGGATGTCTCAGGCGAAACGGGCCGGACCACCTCTCAGGCGGCATCTCGGGGCTCGGAGTTTCGATGATTTCTCACGCGAAACGGGCCGAACCACCTCGCAAGCGTCATCTCGGAGCCGGATGTCTCAGGCGAAACGGGCCGGACCACCTCTCGCACGGCACCTCGGGGCTCAGAGTTTCGAGGATGTCTCAAGCAAAACGGCCCAGACCACCTCTTGCGCGGCGTCCCGCAGCGCAACTGTTCGAGGATGTCTCAAGCGAAACGGCCAATCCCGGCCAACTCAGAAACGAGAGTTGTGAGGATGTCTCAAACGAAACGGCCCGGACCATCAGAATTTTGTGAGGATGTCTCTGCTCCCGTTTCCCTCGGCCGGAGTTAGCTTCTTTCACAACAGCACCCCGTTCAGCAAGCGGTTTGGGGAATTGGAGCGACGGGATATTTGGGCAATGTCAGCTTGTGATAAACAGATCCGTGGGGGGCGCGTGTTTGAAAAAATAGTTCCCCTGCTCGGGTGAATCGCGGGGCGGCGCCCGCCAGATTGAAAATCAACGAGGCGGCGCCGGTGATTAGCGTCGACGCCCGGCCGCCAACGAGGTGCAAAGGGTGGGTGTTTGGAGGCAAGGGCGAGCCACGGCGCCCCTCTCCATCGAACCGATGCGGGCCTGCCGGCAAGGCGGGCTGGAAGAAAGTGGGGCGCAGCAAAGAAGCGATTTGCCAAGTAGCTCACGTCGCCGATTTTCCAAGCGCCTCCTGGCGCCGAAAGCGGCCATGCGTCGACGACGACGACGCCTGAGAGGGCGAACGAACATTCGCCTCGGATGTGTACGACCCTTGAAACAACTTCTATACGAAAGGCAGTCGTTTTGAGGCTGTCCTGCAGGGGGGTACACGATCCCCTCGGCGGCGCCAGCGACAACCCCTTGGCGCGCGTGATTGAAAAAAAGGTTTCGCGCCCCGCGGGGTCTATGCATCAGTCCGGGGGGGGGGGGCACCCAGTTGTGAATCACAAGCTGACATTACAGTGGAGGGCAGTCCACAAGAAACCTTACACAAGAACCTCAACCCTGATACCCCAGGACGTCCACCGATGTTTGGCGCGGGAACGTCGCGCCCTCCATCGCAGAACCATCGAAACCCAAGACACCCAGGACACCCTGGAGGCAAGCCGGGGGTCTCTTGGCATGGGCTGCCCCTGTACGCCTTCCTGGCATGGGCAGGGCGGGCACATGACACCGAGCCTGGGCCCGGCATCGGGCTGGCCAGGATCGGTGCAGGGGTACAGCCACGGCGCTGCCAAACGAAAAAAAGGGGCCCTGGGACACACAAATAACTAGACACAGAAATCCTAGGGTTCCCTATCTTTCCACATATCTTCAAAGTTTTCGTCTTCCCCCCCCCACTTCCAACATTCTCCCACAGTTCCCTCGGGATCGACGACTGACTGTGTCTGTGTCTTTGCCCTCCGGACGGACCAAGGAGCGAACGGGGCTCTCCTGGCAACGGCGGGCCTCCACTACCACGCGCAGGCTCCCCGACCCGGCTCCAGGGAGCGGACCCCCAAGCCCGGAGCCCCTCCCGAGCCCGGAGTGGCCCCCCTCCTCACCGCGTCTTGCCTTTGTGGCTGGTGCCCTCCAGTCGGCGGCGAGCACAAAGGGGGGAAGCGAGAAGGGGCGGGCCCCCTCCGAAGGCTCAGAGGTCCCCCCGGCCCCTCATGAGGAGGTCTCCAGGACCTCCCCGGAGACACAGGAGACCTCTCGCAGGCCGGAGCGCCTCTGCGAAGTGCCGCCGCCTTCTGAGAGGGCCTTCTCCTTCTCGCTTCCCCCCCTCGCTCGCCGCTGGTCCAGCCCCCGGAGGAGTGGTAGCTCTCCGGTCCAGCCCGCGGCGCGGGCGGCGCGGCTGGTCCCCGCGGCCCCGCGGGCAGCCGCGGGCCGCAGGCCTGGCGCCCGCAGTCGGTGCTCCCAGCGCGTGCTCCTCGGTCGGGATCTCGGTCCAGGCCAAGATGAGTATGAAGGGGCACCAGGACACACAAATAAATACACACGAATAGAAGGACGCCCCATATTCTTCCATACTCTCTGTGTGTTTGTCTCCCCCCCCACTTCCCATAGGCTTCCCACACCTTCTGGGGCATCGACGATGAATTGTGTCGGTGTGTGTCTTCCCCTCCTGAGAGCAGGCAATCTCAGGGCCGCGCAGCGAGGCAGCCACCGCAGGCTCCAGCAAGCACATAGCGCACGGCGCTCGGCGGGGCGGCCGGCGCGGCGGGGAGGAGGAGGAGGAGGAGGAGGAGGAGGAGGAGGAGGAGGAGGAGGAGGAGGAGGAGGAGAGGAGGAGGAGGAGGAGGAGGAGGAGGAGGAGGAGGAGGAGGAGGAGGTTGAGCAGGAGGAGGAGGAGGAGCTCGGCGGTCCTGCTGCGCCTGCTCGTCGGCCAGGATCTCGGCCCATGCTCTGTCGTCGCGCTCCTCGAGCACGAACGGCCTCCACGCGCGGCGGGGGCGCGAGCGAGCTGCCCCCGAGGGCCTGGCGTCGCAGCCTTGTCGCAGCGGGCAGGTCTGCCCTGCCTCGGGCCCCGGGACCCTCGGAGATCGCTCCGGCCCGAAACATGCGGCAGACAACGGGGTCCAAAAATCAAGTCGAGACTGTTGTTTCCTGTGTTGCATTTCTTCCGTGACGTCGGTTCTCAGGGTACCCACAGCCCTTTCGCGCAGAAAGCGGCATGATCAGCAGAATCCTCGCAAGAGAGTCACAAAGTATGGAAAGGAGCTGGTGCCAATAACACGCATACACACACTACACACATACACACACACACACACGTGAAGAAGCTTCACACACGGGATCGCCTGGCTCAACATCTGCGCCCACATGGCGGGAACGCCGCCTAGCAACGCATGCCGCGGAACAACATTGGCGGACCACCACAGAAAGGCGTGGGGAAACCAACAGTACCGATACCGCTCCACTCCCGAGACCTTCCCTGGGATGCGTTCTGGCAAAAGAATTTCGAAGCGAATCCAGCGGCGGCGACGAGGGCCTCCCCAGATGCCCCAGAAGGAGGAAACGAGGGAGGCGTACAGAGGCCTCCTAGATGGGGTCCGAGTAGATGGGCATCGCGCCGCATCGGCGATGCATCGGCGATGCGTCGGCCATGCACTGGCGACGTCGGCGTGAAGAAAACGGGGCCCCGCACTGAGCCGCATCGCCGATGCATCGCCGATGCATCGGCGACGTCGGCGCGACCCTCGGACCCCGTCTACTCCGACCCCATCCAGGAGGCCTAGTAAAACAGGGCCAGGACCGGGATAAGTCGCTCCAGAGCGTTCCGGAGCGCTCTCAGAGCGTTCCGGAACGCCCTGGGAGCGGCCGCGGCGCCCAAGACACCCTCCAGACCCGCCGATTCTCAGAGATTTCGAGTTATCCCGATCCGATGTTGTCCCGATCTTCGCGTCGTTTTACCTAGAGGGTAGCGGTGGCGGCACCAGTTCCTCCCCTGAGGGCACGGGACTGCTGCTCGGCACGGCGTGGGCAACACGGCGTGCGCCCCCGCGGCCCCGCGGCGCCTGGCCGGGTGGCTTATCGACGAGTCGTCGTGCGCCCGGTCAGGCTCCCTCTTCGGCGAACCTCCGTCCGGCCGTGTGCTGCTCTCTGCTCAGGCACCCTCCCTCTTCCTCCTCCTCCTCCTCCTCCTCCTCCTCCTCCTCCTCCTGTGCCGTGCGCCAGTGCGCTGCTCCGCACGCGCTTCCCCCCTCTTCAGCGTCGAGGGTCCTCAGAGCGCGCGTTGGCGCCAGCGAGTGCTTGGCCACCGAGGCCCATGCACACGGCGCAGGCAGCGCAATGAGGGCTCACACGAGCTGCGCGTTCTCGGTGGAGCTGAACGAGGTAAGCGCACATTGGGCTAACCTTTTGCGTCGGCGGCGAGGCTGAGGCAGTCAGAACCAGCGTGAGGATCATCGGGGCAACCGAAAGGCGAAGTATCCGGCGTGCGAGAGGAACGAAAGAAGACGAGGGCGGCCACGCGAGGGGAGGAGAAGGGGGGAAGCGCTCAGGTGTGGAGGAGCTCCGCGAAGAGCAGGCACAGTGGGCCCAGTGGGCTGACACGCGTCCCGAGGATCATCGATTCGTTCGTGTGACTCTCTGCGCATCTGCGCGCTCTCCTGAAAAACTCCACTCCTCCCTGCATGTCCCAATTGGTTCGGGGTCCTCAGCCGCCGCGCCTGCCTCTCCCCGCCCACGCCACCCTGTCTCTATCCCTCTCTCTCTCTCTATCTTTCTCATTCTCTATGTCCTGCGTATTTTGTTTGATCCCGATCAATATATATATATATATATATGTACATACATACATACATACATACATACATACATACATACATACATACATACATACATACACATACTAGAACCATCGCGCGCTTCGCGCGCGCTCAAGTTCTAGCTAGGCTTGATAGGCTAACGCATGTAATCTCATGTTGGTCGCTTCTTGCGTCCAGGGACTCCCTTGGAGGCCCTGCGCAAGCCTCGGAATCGTATAGAAGAGGAAGTGAAACGCAGAACTCATTAACTTCCTTTCGGTGTTCAACGATTTGGGGCCCTCAAAGGCTTCCTGGGTTCTTGTTTGGGAGGTGAGGGGGGTCTGAATTGTGGTCTGTTGTGCAAGAGTAGACCGGGAGCCAAACTTGGAAACAAAAGAATTGTGGGATTTCCATGTTTTTCCAATTCCACGGCGCTGTTCGGCGCTGTTTTTTGTTTGTGCCTCGCCGGTTTTGTTAGCCAGGCTCCTCAGGGGTGTAGGATCTTCCGGACCCCCTGGGGGTTCTGGAGGCCTCCTGGAGGCCTGGAGCCGTCGGCAGGGTGTCTCGGGCTGCGCGGGAGCGTGTTGGGCCGTTCTTTACGTTCTGGTGGCTCCTTGGGATCGTCTTGGGCTGTCCTTCGGCGTCTTGGGGTCTCCTCAAGAAGCCGGGAGGCGCGGTACCGGCCAGATGTCAGGGGATGTGTAGGACCCCCGAGTGTTCCTCTTTGAAAAAAGGGAATTCCCAGAATCATTTTTTTTTCAGTCCTCGATCTTCGAGGGTTGGAAGCGGGAAAACGAGAGAAAGCTAAAAACATTCGAAAACCATCAACGAGTTTACTCTCTTTGGGCTCTCTCGGGACGGCTCTCGCAGCTCTATTGGGCCGTTCTTGGAGCCTCGTCGGGGTCTTTTTTGGAACCTCTCAAAGATCGGGGGTGTGTTGGGGGCCTCTGGTTGGTCCCGGAGGCCTCTCGGAGGTCTCTGGAAGCCTCCTGCTCCCGCGCTTGGGCCTGTTCTGGGGTGGTCTGGGGCTGTCCTGGGCGCCTTTTCGGCAATCTTGGAGCCTTCTTGGCCCGTCTTGGGGCCGTCCTGGGGGTCTCTTGGGTGGTCTTGGGGCGGTATTGGGAGCCTTTTCGGCGCTCTTACACCGTTGGAAGCTCGAAAACGCGAGAAGCCAAAAACATTGAAAAACACATGAAAATCTGCGATTTGGGCATCTTCGGGCCGTCCCGGGACGCCTCTCGGACCTCTCTTGGGGTCTCTTGGAGGCCACCTGGGAGCCTCGAGAGCCGTCGGAAGGATGACTTGGGCTGCTTGGAAGCGTCTTGGGCCATCCTTTTGCTTTCTGGGGGCTCCTGGGAGGCGTCTTGGGCCCTCCTGGAGCGCTGTGGAGGCTCCCTCGAAAGGCCGGGGGAGCGGTACCAGGAGCGTTCCCGAGATGTGGCGGGGAGGTGTGGGACCCAGGGCCGGGGGGGGGGTCGGTATTTATGTATATTCTGGAATGCACATTTACATCTACATCCGCATCTGCATCTACGTCAACATCCACACCTACAATTGCATCTACATACACATCCACATCCACATCCACATCCACATCCACATCCGCATCTACATCTACATCTACATCTACATCTACATCTACATCTACATCTACATCTACATCTACATCTACATCTACATCTACATCTACATCTACATCTACATCTACATCTACATCTACATCTACATCTACATCTACATCTACATCTACATCTACATCTACATCTACATCTACATCTACATCTACATCTACATCTACATCTACATCTACATCTACATCTACATCTACACTACATCTACATCTACATCTACATCTACATCTACATCTACATCTACACATACTGTACATGTATCCGCCGACCCTGTCGGCGTGTCTGAGAGGAAATTCTAGGCCAGTCGTTCTGGAATGGCCCTGGGAAACGATCTCTCTTTCACTCGATTTGTTTTTCCATTCCCAAGAACCCTCCTGGAGACTCTATTTGGCTTGCTCGTCAACTCGAGGTTCATCGAGCCAGGTCGTAATCAAGGTCGTAATCGAATCGAGGGGAAGTCCCTCCCCTTCGATCCCTTCCCCACCTTGGGGGGGTCCTCGGGGAGGTCCGGGCGGGGGATCCCGGGCGGGTCACGGATCAGAATGCGGTCTCCCCCTTCCCCCCTCGGGTCGCCTCCGAGCAAGTTCGGCCATCTTTCGCCCATCCAGGCCCGAGCTGATCCAAGAGGGGCCTCAACTTGTCAAAAACACTCCAAGACGGCCCAAGATGCCCTCAAGACGGCCCGAACAACATCCAAAACGCCACAAGAGAGCTCCAAGAGCGCCTGCAGAGAGTCCCAAGAGGCACAACAAATCATTGATTTCTGATCGTTCTCGACCGATGTTAGCATTCTCACTTTTTGGGGTTTCCGACGCCCCAAGACGGCCCACGACACTCCTAATATCGCTCCAAGACGGCCCAAGAGACCCTGAACAGGGCTCCAATATTGCCCACGAGAGCCTCAGGACGAAGCTTCAAGATTGCCTCCAAGAGGCCCCGCGACGCCGTCCAAGAAAACCCGCCATGCATCCAGGAGGCCCTTGTCCCACAACCCACGCGCGGTGGCGAACTGGGCCCAAGATCACTAGATTGGCATCCTCTGGGACCGCCACCACGCCACAGGGAGACCCCAAGAGACTGGAAACATGCTTCTGCGGGGCCCCGAGAGGCCTCCCAAGAGACCCCAACAAGCCCCCAAGAGTCGGCGGCCTTCCTGGGGCCTCCGCCCTGATCCCCCGTTCAGGATCGGCGAACAGGCCGCAAGGCCTCTCCAAGACATATATATATATATATATGTATATATATGCAAATACGTATACACGTATTTGCTACATACATATACGTATACACTAGAACCATCGCGCGCGCTTCGCGCGCGCTCAGGTTCTAGCAGGCCCCAGGCCTTGACGAATTCACTGCTCCACTGAAGTAGTGGACCACACACAGTACACGCTTGCCAATCTGCTTTCCGAAAGGCCTTCGAGGAAAATGGTTGTGTAGGGGGGCGGAGGCCGTTTGAATCGGGCTCCCAGAATGCTTCTGGGAGCAGGTTTGGGGGCGTCTTGGGGAGCCTGTTGGGGCGTGCCGTCGTCGTCGTCGTCGTCGTCGTCGTCGTCGTCGTCGTCGTCGTAATGTCGTCGTCGCCTATGGGGCGCGCCGTCGTCGTCGTCGTCGTCGTCGTCGTCGTCGTCGTCGTCGTCGTCGTCGTCGTCGTCGTCGTCGTCGTGGTAATGTCGTCGTCGTCGTCGTCGTCGTCGTCGTCGTCGTCGTCTTCGTCGTTTCGTCGTCGTCGTCGCTTCAAGATGGCACTCAGGGCAACTTTGCGCGAAACGATCTGCGGAGGGCCGCGAGAAGGCGATCAGTCATGTTCCCAATCAACTTCCCAGACAGCTCTCCTGTAGCATGATGGTACTTCGAAGCCTCCGGAGACTCGCGGGCCCATGATGAACCATGTCCCCGGAAGGCTTTCTGGGGACATGGTTTGTTGGGGTGTGTTGGGGGGTCTCTTGGGCGTTCCCTGGGGCCCCCTTGGGGGCCTCCGGGAACTCTCGGGCCCATGATGAACCATGTCCCCGGAAGGTTTTCTGGGGACATGATTTCTTGGAGTGTATTGGGGGGCCTCTTGGGCGTTCCCTGGGAGCCCCTTGGGGTCTCTTGGGGCTTCCTGGCGGCCTCTTGGGCGCCTCACGGGGCTTCGTGGGAGCCTCTTGGTGGCCTCCAGGGGCCTATAGGCGGCCTCTAGGGCCAGAGACCTCGAAATATCGGTTGGCGGTCCCCTCTGGGCCCTCTCTTGGGGAGCCCTTGGGGCACAGTTGGTTTGTCTGGGGAGCCTCCTGAGCCGTCTTGGGGCCATCTTCGGGGCCTCGTGGCCCGTCTTGGAGCGATCTGAAGGGCCTCCGAGTGAGGCCGTGAGGGAGCGCTGGGAAGCGGGGAAAGCGAGAACGCCTAAGTCCTTCAAAAACCACCGGAAAATTAGTGAATCTTGTCTCCCTGGGCCCTCTTGGGGAGCCTCTTGAGTCCACCCTAGAGCGTGTTGGAGTCCTCGTCGGCCGTCTTGAGGGCAGCTTGGGCGTCTTCGGAGCCTCTTGGGACCGTCTAGGGCCCTCTCGGGACCTCCATTAGCCTGTCGTGGCCTGATTCGGGGCGGGCCGCCTCGGGACCCCTCTGGGCCTTCTCTTGGCGCGCTCTTGGGGCACACTTGGGTTGTCTGGGGAGCATCCTGGGCCGTCTTGGGGCCCTCGTCGGGGCCTCGTGGGCC